TCAGATCACATTTTATGACAAATTAATGCAGAACACCATGAAATTCCAAAAGGTTCACATACTTTTTCTTGCAACTGTATAAACCTCAAAGAAAAAATAATAATCATCAGGAAGCAACAATGCACCCAGTTTTAAGTGTTGCTGGCTCACAAAATGGTTAATTAGGAATTCCCACTGCGGAAAGGCCACAGTTCAGAACAGGTGGCTTTGAAACTAAAAGAGGGGGCTGCCATTTGTCTTCAGAGCATTCTTTGACAGACTCCAGATCCTTCTCTCCCCTCCCCCGCCCCTTATGTACATGTGCTTTGATGTCATGCACACCTATGAAGGGGCGGAGGTTGCAAAGTGATGGTGCAATGCTGCTGTCGTCGTTTTGGCAAAAGCACCGGATCCTGTGGATGCTTCTGATTTCCTACAAGGACCCACTTCTAGGAAAATGCTCTACAAAGCAGCAATCTTAAGCCTTTTCCAACAGCTGGCTGATTTCCAAGAAAGATGCAGGGTGAAGAGCTTCCTCTCAGATCACCTTGCAAATCTGAGCTGTGTCAACACAAGAGCTTAGGACAGGCACTTCCTTAAGATGACGTCCCATGAGCAATGAGGTCAGCCTTTTGAAATATACCTTGAGAACCCTGAACTGCTAGCTAATACCAATGGTCTTTTTGCAGAATGACCTACTGTGTTTACTCCACCCATTTTTTTCTTCTTTTTTTTGGTGCCTTCAAGTCATTCTTGACTCTGGTGACCGCCCGGACAAGTCCAAGCAATTTTCTTGACAAGGTTTTGGAAGTGGTTTGCTATGCATTCTTCTTTCTAGGGCTGAGGGAGAGGGACTTGCCCAAAGTCACCCAACTGGTTTCATGCCTTAGATGGGACTAGAGTTCAGACTCCTGGTTTGTAACTTGTTCCCTTATACTACTATATACTACTTAACTGACCCTCTAATCTACCCATGTTGATGATTTAACATTTCCCCAAGAAGCTGAGGACAGTGTCCCACATAATAGAAAGGAATGCCAAAGGACATGTCCCACTTCTTTTAACTGCTGGCTTTGCTGCCTGAAAGCACTTTGGTAGAGAAGGAAGGTAGGGTTATCTGTGGTGATGAAGGAAAACCCGAACCATAGAGATGACAGCAATTCAATCAGTAAGAGGTGATTAACCCCTTCGTAATCCCAACAACAGATCTCTTTTAGACGGTTGGGTTCCTCCTTTTGGATGGTGAACTTTTGTGCAGTCTGCAGCTGAGGACTCACCTCCCATTGGGTAAGTAGCCCAACATGGTAGTGCCTGTCACCAAAAGGCTAATGCCAGTGAAAGCCAGGGCAACCCTGTAAGGAAGGAAAGAAGGAAGGGGGTGGGGGAAGAGGGGAGAGAGAGCACAATGTATTAAGGTACAACCTGCACAGCACTCAGAACGTGGCAAGGTTACTAACTGTACTGCTACTGAAACTTTTGAACTGGGGCTGGCCAACAAAAGGATCTTCTACCCAGGGTGAGATGTACCACTATGGTTTCACTATAGGGAATGGCCAGAAGAAATGATAAAGAGTCCTATCTTCCTCCTGACTGTCCAGTGAGAAGCCTGAATCCATCCTGGTCTGTACCTGAGTGGCAATAAGAAGCAGTAGCGGATGAGGAAGCCCACCCCCCACAGTATTGTGAGGCGCAGACTGATGTAGTGGAAGTTGTAGTTGGTCCTGCTCAGCAAGTTCCAGGACTCCAGCTCTTCTGCTGAGAAACGCTTGGTCACCTCATCGTCCATGATGCTCTCGACGCCCTTGCGACAGAAGTAAAAGATGTCAGAGAGCTCAAACTCAGAAGCATCCAGGGCCTTGTTGCTAGCACTCCTACGGATCTCCTTGATCTCCTCTTCCAATGATGTGGGCTCTTTGGCAATGATTCCTGCAACAGATACACAAACAATAAGAGAAGTATGCCTGATATGCCCCCACCACTCTGAGAAAGCGGCTCGTCCTCTTACCATTGACAAAGGGCTTATAAACGGGATGTTTCTTCTCTTTGGCGCCCCGCTGAATTCTTAATGTTGCCCACTGTAAGACAGAGAAAGAAGTGAGGTCCTTGAGACCCTGACATGAAATCTATTTCTCTGAACCAGGGTGATGGCTCTGCATGTAGACGGCTTTAAAAAGGAGCGGACAAATTTAAGGAAGGGATCAGGGGGCTGGCAGCTAAATGCAATGCTTATTTAGCAGTTCATCTCAGATCATCAGGTCCAAGAAGGAAAGTGGAAAGGCACTGCTTTTCTGTCCTGCTTCATCAGCTTCTACTAGGCTGCTACTGATTCTGGAAAATGCTGGACTGGATGACCTCAAATCCAGCAGCTTTAGGTAAACAGCCCTGCATATGTTCTGTGGGGAGAAACTTGCCAATTCAGTCCTCAGCAATTTCACTTAAAAGTTAAATTCAGTTAAATTACAGAGTGGTCAGAGCGTGCAATACTGGGTTAGATAACTCTGCAGCATGACCATGTGACCTGGTCACACATCTTGCTAAGTTGTTATTATTAACTACATTTATGATCAGACCCAAAGACTGACGAATTGTAATGTCTGATAGCTCTTGCTTTAGTGTGCTGTGTAACACCAGCTCTTGTGGTTGGTAAACTATGGATTGTGTGTTACTAGGCTGTGAGAACTCAGATAATTATGGCCTATTCCAGGAATGGACAACTTTTTAACAGCTGAGGGGTGAGCTCCACATTTTTTTTTGAGATGGCTGGCTGAGAGCTGCAAAGCGGCTGCATGAGCAAGGCTGAATTTTGGAATGGAGCATTGCTTTGCTTTGCTTTTTAATAGTACAGTAATACAGCTATTTTAGGGCTTACACTCTGTTGTCCTGCGTTGTTCACCTCAAAATATGAGAAAACTGTGGCCTTCATTTTCAGCAATCCTGGTCAGAAGGGAATACAAAGGAAATCTGAGGGATGCACTTTGCCAACCACAAACATAATAAACCATGGCATAACATGATGTGTCAGACCAGTGAGTCTGTCCTGGCCATGGACTTCCTCTAGGTAACAGATGAGTCACTGCAGAGAAGGAAGGCTGGACTAGAAGCCTTTGGCATGGTCTAGAACAGCTCTATCTCTTATCTCTGCCTCTTCTCTCTCCATTCCTTCTGTTCTCTTCCATTTACTGGGGAAAATCACACTGCATTTTATGTAGGGGGGGAGTGGGGGACATCCACAGTCTGAAACAATGAACTCTGCTTGTGGAAAATGAAAACCTTGGTCTTTCGGATTGCTTTGCTGAAGTGGCAAAGAGGAGACTTTCCAGTGGCTGTTTACATCTGGCCATGGATTCCTTTATCTGGTTCCACAGCTCTTTTTTTTTAAACTGGTTCAGGTGACAATGGAGCTGCTATTGTTGCTTGCTGGTGTCTGCAATTTTTATTTGCTTCTTTTTGGATATTCTACTCTAAACATCGTCCTCTTGACAGTACCTAAAATGTTGACAACAGTTTTTGAGAAGGATGTGGAATAAGACAGGGAAAACAATACCCAAACTCAGATTATAGGAATAGAAGCCTGAGGCAGCTTCCAGCCAATTAGACAAGAGGTCTGAAAAACCAAAAAGGGCTGGCTTAGAGTCAAAAGAAGGATCTTTGTCATAACTGAACCGCAAATCCCAGGAAGCTCTGAAGAGGAAAAGCCAGACTCTCTTTATGCCCAAAGTGACCTCCAAGCTACACAATAACCAGCAGAAAGCCCTGCCATGCTAGTGGTGGGCTAAAGTTCACTTCTTTGCTGCCTGCCTGCCGAGCCTTTGCATCTGGCATCAGACAGGCTGCCATCTTGGTACCTCTGGGGAGCTCCTGCCAGTCTTTTTGCCTGAACTCTTCCATTTCCCAACACAACATCCACACAGCCTCCTGAAAGCAATTCCTGGAAGCTAACCCGTTGTTGCATTATACAAAGGTCAGGCTCACCCCTAGGGGTGCCCCCCCATGCCACTTGGCTACTTTCCATCTGACCAACTCAATGTAACACAGGTGTAAGCAACAACCTGAGAAGCATGGCTGTGTCTACGCTGTGATACCCACAGCAAGAGATGCTGCCTTGAGGTCCTGGAGGAAACATGAGATACATACCTAACAAACAAGGGCAGAATCCAATTTTTTGACAAACTCTCCTTTCAAGTTGGAAAGAAGGCAAAACAAGTTGGGATAGGGAAAAAAATGCAAGCAATGCTAGAGAAATGGCCATGTAAGATCTTCAGCGTGGCCCTGGCCTTCAGTCCTCAGTGTAGCTTTTTGACCTATGTACTGTGAAATACATTATGCAAAATAACATGATTGAGTTATACCAGCTACGCGAAAGGACACGTGCTGCAGGAAGATAAGAAATAAGACCTGGTCAAGCTGGACAATTTAAATAACTGTCACCCAAGTTAGAATTTTAAAGGGGCATCATTTTTTTGTGTATTTGTTGGCTTTTCCTAGCATGGAATATGGTCAGATCTGATCATCAGAGCCATGTCAGAAGCCCCTCATTCAAAGGACTACCTGCATACATTCATTTGCCTCGCAACAGGGGGAAAGGTATTTGCAAGAGTTCTGACTCTTTCCCCAAAACATTTCCCACTGAATATAAAGTTCTGTGGAAATTACTGGACTGAAACCACCTCTCACTCAGAGAACCCTGAGGCTGAAGAGCCTCAGGTTGGAAAATTCCACTGGCTACCAGGATGGAAGTACAGATCGGCCTCCTGCCAACTATCTCATCTTTCAGCTTCCTGCTGGCTCTTCACCCATGTATTAGCAAATGTCCTGGGAAATCTTCCTGAAGGCTCCAGAGGACACTTAAGTGTTATGGGATAGAAGAGACTTCTATGGATTGAAACGGTTAAATAATAGAAAGAAGGACAGGCGAAAACTAAAGCTCCCGTGATGGAGGGGTATGAACAGCAAGTCTCTGAAAGAGCAGTAGTGGGATATTTTCTTTTTTATTTGTTGATAAATGACAGTGTTAGAGGTGAGGAGTAAGGTTGCTAACATTCTAGCAGCACCAAATTATTTCGAGTGATTCAAAGAAAAAGGACAAGTTCCTAAAGGATCTCTCTATGTGAAAGGAATGGGCATTAAAATGGCAAATTGGGTTCAATATGAACAAGCATAAATAGAATTTGTACTTGCTCAAACAATCATAGCATACTGATAGGATCTGAACGGGGGCATGACAGACCAGGAAAGGGATCTTGTAGTAGTTGTGTGTGAAAACGCTGATCCAGAAGAGCTGTCAATATTCTAACGTTCCTTTAAATGATGCTTAAGATACTGTTGTCACCAACTCCCATTCAAAGGAAATTAAATGCACTTTGCTATCCAGGTTTTAATACTAGCATCTTAATTCTCCTTTGTCTCCTGTTTCTATTATTCCATAGTTTATTACTGTTAGCCCATAAACAGGACCTGCATTTGACATGATTATACAGTACAATACGTTGATCTGAAATGACTCCAAAAATAATAAACACTGGGAAAATGGAAGAAATGAATGTTCTTATTCTAAGTGAGGCTCACAATGGTCATGGGTATTCTGATTCTGGGTGAAACGAGGGTTTTGGAGGAATAAGAATGGAAAGAGGATATATAATTTCCCAGTGACTGGCTTCCTAAGCATGGTTATTTGTGTGACTGCCTCAGTCAAGGCTCTGCTAGAATTAATGAACAGTGGTAACAGATGCACAGAGTCCCATGATGCGCATTGAGTTCTCAGATGAGGCAGCCCTCAAGAAAGTGAAAAATGAAAAAAAGGCGGAGGCCCTTCCGTGCAACTGCCTCAAGGTCACCCTCAACATGATGTATAGCTTGCTCCTATGTCACCCTCTCTGGGCATCTCCTCCATCCTTGAAAACTGATGGGGGTAGGATGTCAAGAGGCCAGCATTAGGAAGGCCGACCCTCTTCCTTTTCGGTCTGCATAAGAGCCAGTATTTGAGCTGTAGGAGAAGAGCTGCTGCTGGACTACAATCCGAACTGAAAGTAACCCTTATGCAGGGGAAATTTAATGGTTAAGCAATGCCCTACACCTGCTGTCAGGGACATCTCCATTTGTCCTTACGTCACACGTTCCAGGGATAGACTATGACACTGACAACCAATGCTAGAGCTGAACTTGTCCAAAACTCCCCATTTCCTGATCTAGCGTACAAGGCCTGTGTTGAAAGAGCTCTGATTCATCATTCTGTGCCGGCTGCTGGCACAACCCAGTCTCGGCTTGCACTATTCCTCCCCATCCCGCAGGAATGCTGAGCGGGCTGACTCACCTGGAAAATCTGTAGCAAACTTTTCATGTAGAGACGGCGGATGCCAAAGGAAACTCCAAAGATGGCTGGCACAATGATGAAAACCAAAAGCAAAGTGAAGAGGACCGTCAGGGAAATCCCCAGCAGGTTAACCACCAAACTGTCAAAGGGCAGCAGTAGAAACATGATGAAGGTGAGAGGGCGGGCCAGGCCAGTGCCCGGTGAGTTCCCGAGACAGGCAGAAGGAAGCTGCCCAGAGCAGTCAGTCAGTTCCTCTGTCAATCAACAGCAACTTCGAGTGGGCAGCAGGTCTCTGGCCTATCACAGTGGCCATTTCAGAATTCACACCCTTCCTCCAGTGGGCTTGGAGTCGCCGAGAACCCCCATGATCTACTCTGGAAAGAGGCCACAGCACAAATAGAAACTGGGAAGGCTGACTAGGGGTGAGTTGGTTACACAATGGGTCACTGCACAAGCCACCGGAAGAGCAGGGAGAACTGTGCCAGGAAACAGCTCTCCCAACGCTGGACAGATAAGGCTTGTTTGAGTTTTCAAGAGTACAAAACGTCTCTTTGCAAGATTGAGATGTGCTCCTTCTCTTGATCTGCATTGGAGGAAAAGCTGGCACCTTGCAAAACTAGAGCTGTTGCCCCTGGGTCACAAGAGCCCGCTCTGGTTCTTTCATGAAACTTGTAGCCAATATCATTCCAAGCCTCTGGATCCCATCTGCCACGAGAGGGATGTTCCCTTGTCCATGGAAGATGTTCTTGAAAGTGCAGCATTCACAGGTCCCAAACACTACATGAGGAAAGAGAGAAAAAAACCCCCAGTGAAATGTCAACACTGAAGAATTACTTTGAGACCAGAGAAATGTAGCCACTCCTCCTACAAGAAGAGAGGATGGAGACAGTTTCTCACTAAAAAGGCCGCAAGGGGCAAGCAGGTCACAGGTTTAGTAAGGTCTGCTTATAACTGAAGAACCCCTTAGGTCAAAGACCCACAAATATTGTTCCTAGCTTGTCTACTCATTGGTATTTATGTTAATCATCTATGGTCTTAAAAGGAAATAGAACAATTATAATTTGGGGAAGCTTCCTATCTATTTGATGGAAGGAAACTGTGACCTGCCAGAGTGACCAAACAAGTGACTAATTATAAGCCTGGCTTGCTGTCTCGGTAATAATGGATCAGTACGGAAAGTGTTGTACACATAGAATCATCTTCAACCTGGTGCCCTCCTAATGTTTGGGGACTGCAACTCCCACCAGCTGGGACACTCTGGGAGCTAGCGCATCTAGAGAGCAGCAACTTCAGAAGAGGGATATAGATTACTTCCCACTTCTATACTTTTTCAAGACAACATTTCTACAAATTACATTGCTTCCTAGAATCCAATTATTAACAGAGGCAATATCTATTTTTAAGATACTGTAAAATCATTCAAAAAAGTCACAAGGCAAACTGAATGGACATGAGTGAAGCACCCCTCCTCCAAGCATTAAAACAGCTGCCTTTTCCAGAAGAATCCGATGCATTAAGGTCTTTTCCTGGTGGTCTCAGAAGACGATTATTGATCAGATTACGTGAGGGAACAATTCTGAGAAAGTGGTAAGTTAAGGTACCTATGTTCTAAGCCACTAGAATGCATTGAAAACACGAGCACTACCTGCCACTGAAATCATGGACACCACAAATCAGACATTCTCAAAGCTGCAATTCACTTTTTTTCCCCCAAAGATTATCCCGAGGCAGTAGACTAATAAACAGGAAAGGTGTACATGGAGGAGCTGAATTAAACCCCAAAAGTGCACATAATCCACACATGCTGAATCTGGTCCCAAATGAAGAGATCAGGAAATTTCCCTTAAAACATTTCGAGACATTACTGAATTTAATGTAAAAGTATGGCCTAATCCATGAAGCACTGCACTCCAAAAAATAATTTTAACCCAGTTTACAGCCAACTCTGCATTTTACTCACAGTAAACATTAGGTGAACAGCAGTAATGCGGGAATGGAATAAAGAACTGGAACTACCATCCAAGGCATTTTCCCTTACAGTTAAGAGGCAGAAGTAACAAGTCTCTGGAGAGATACTCACCTCCAGACAGCCGTCAGTGAGATCTTAACTGCAATAGCTGACAGCCTTGCATCACAGCTGGAATGGAACAGCGATCAGGTGTTTGCAACCACGTGTAATCCCTACAAAATGTTCCAAGAGATTCCAGAGTTCAGGCTTGGGATGATGAGTGGGTTTTCTCCACATACAAATACATCAGAATCATGAGAACAACTGCCTGACAGCCCCAGACTAACGCAAGAATTGGCATTAAGGACAACATGCCTGTTTCCCCAAATGGACTAACAGATCAGAAATGGGCACCTGATACAAGCAAGAAGAGACATCTAGATTAATGTTAATCATAAGACAGCTGATTATTACAGTCCCAAGGACAGAAGAACAGGGAGTCCCCAGTTTAAGAATGCCCGGTTTATGGACGACCCATAGTTAAGAACAGAGCCTATTGTAGCAAAATGTGAGTTAAAAACAAAATGATTTGAGTTAAATAGACAATGGTTCAAGTTAATTACACAATACAACTTAGACAGTATTATACAATAAGACTGTTCTGGCTTGCATACAAATTTGACTTAAGGACAGACCTTGGGAATGGAACTCATTCTTAAACCGGGGGCTACCTGTAAAAGATAATTTTAAAAAAATCCTTTAATTGGTCTGATTATATAGCTAGTATAGTAGGCTTTCACATCACACAGCACTATTTAGCCAGCAGAGATCAGCCAAATTCTGTACAATTCAAAAATGCTGCCCATTCATAAGCAAATAAGGCATTTGGAATATGATGTAGATTTGATGGGGGGGGAGGGGAAGGGAGGAAATAATGAATTATTTTAAACTTATTCATTTTGGGCTGATTTGCAATGGTAGATGTCAATAACAGTGTTTGATACTAATTGCTTTAGGCCATCACAAAGACCATTCTTATTGTGGTAGGTTATTCAAGATACCTTCTTTCAGGGATGCGTTGATCAGAGCTCATTAAATTTTGGGGGGGGGGGAATAACTGTAATGATCACAGTTGCATTGCAGACTGATGAAGATATTGCTTAAAACAGCCTTCCCCAATCTGATGCTCTGTAGACATATTTGGATACAACTCCCAACATCTGCAGCCAATTTCTAGAAATTGTAGTTCAGATGGTCTGGAGGACACTTGACTGGTGACGGTTGATGTAAAGAGCTTTTCACAACATACCCGTCATGGAAAGTCAGACTTCTAAATGACAACTTTATTAGTTGGCAGTGAAATCACTGACTGCTCTTATTACACAGATTCAACTTAAGTGAGGGAGATCATATTCTACCAGTCTTAATACATTTGCTGGAAAAGGCAGATAAAAAGGAAATAAATTCAACAATTAACCTGTGGACTGAACTGCTTGAAGATGTGATGATAGTCACTGTTTTTAAAATAGGATTTGACAAATTCATGTAGGAGAGGTTGATTAATGTCCGTGGGCCATGATTGTGAAATTAAACATGCAGGCAGAGAGTGAAAAGCTCTCTGATCTGATATTGTATGGCATTTCTTAGTTCTATTTTCTATTAATTCTTAGTTGCAATTTTTCCCTCAACACTGCTGATTGTTCTTGAAGCCAAGCAAGTTTCTTCATTATTTGTAGCAGCAGCAACGGAAGCTGAAACCTCCCTCGTCTCAAGATTTCGACCTAACTGGACAGAACTCAATAAGACAACAGAAGCATCACCTTTCTCTTGCTCAACAGCCAGAATTGAATAGCCTTGCTAACTTTGGCTTCCATAAGTCTTTCTAATCCACTTCAAAAGATGCCCAAGATAACAGCCCTCTATCATTATATAGTTATAATGATATGAAGAAGTCTTGTTATGTGTTCTGAATCTACTCACATTTAGTTTCACTGGTTGACTTTTGGATTTTATATCCTGAAGGAAGCCAACTTCTTTCTCTCCCCTGCCTAAAAAGGTCTGTACGTTTTCATCTTTCCTCCCAAGAATTACTCTGCCTCCTTGATCTTTTTGGGGCACCTTTCCTAGCCCCCATCAGAAAGGCTTTAAGTTTGATTCCTCCATGGAGCAGGGGGTTGGACTCAGTCTATTTATTTTGTTTTATTTTATAAGATTTGTATAGCCACCCATCTTAAAATAAATCTGGGCAGCTCACAACAGTAAAACTATAGTAACCATAAAAACCATATAACAAAAACTAAAAACCTGGGAGGGAGGTCTAATTGGCCCCTTCTAACCCTGTGATTCTATAATCCTTGAGTAGTGCCTGTAACTATACACAGTATTCCTATGTATTGATGTACCTTAGAGAAGTATACATACATATAAAATATTTTTCTTTCATTCTTTTACTAAGGACCTAAAGCAAGGATTTTGCCTTTTTGCAGAACTCTTTGGGCCTATATATCACAATAAGCATGATGTGCTTTGGCTTATTATGCTGTATAGACTCTGTACATTGTGGTACACAAACTGTAATTTATAGCCTTAGCATGGTATGTGAGTCCAGTTAATTATGATTTCTAAAATAACCAATGGTGATTAAACCAGCCATGGTTCAGCATGTGTGAGCCACAGGCGCTATCATCAACACATCAAAGTCCATTTTGGTCAGTTCCTGTAATCATTTCTATGTACACATGGTTGGGATTTTCTTCTCCTATAAGGCAATGATCTTAAAACACTTGGATCCACATTACAAATTAAAGGGAAACAGATTATTGGGGTGGGAGCCATACTGCTTTCCTGTCCTGTGAACCAAGCCATTAAGAATCAAGCTTGTTCCTATACGCGGAGATCCATTCTGGACTCTGTCTCTTTCTCGGGCTCCAGGGTAACCAATTTAGAAAACTGATTAAGAATGAATATTTATACAAACTGCAACTCTGTAACGTTTTGCTTTCTTTCCAAACTACAAGATTTGAAATAGTCCCAAACAGAGCCACCCCTCCACCCCTGGCTAATAATGGTGCCTTAAGAATCAGAATTATTTCTCTGGTCCTATCCAAAATAGTAAGATTTGAAGCCAGAATGTGCACATCTGGCAAAATTCTCCAGCTTTTGTTCCACAGCACAGATCAGTTCCTCTCTATAGCTTATCTGCTCTTGTCCTCCATCAAACTACTTTGTTTGCAACATGAAAACTTTGTGTCAGGCTCTTCTTCAGAATCACCAATCACCCATGCACTACATTTCAGACTTAGCAAAGGGATTATCCTATCTAGCCTTCTGCAATCCAGTGTTACCAGACAGATTGGGCTTCAGCATTCATAGCCTCCCTAACCAGCATGGCTTGAACTGGCCATGTTGGCTAGGATGATGAGTTGAGTTGAAGCCCAACCTATCTGGAGGGTACCAAGTTAGAGATACAGTACTGTAAATCTTTATACCTGAAAAGAATACTGCTAAAAGAATATTAAAATACTCCCTTTGAAAACCCCTGTTTCTCAGTTATACGTATTAGAGCTTGTCATATTTGAATTGCTTTGAATTTTTGAGTTGGAAGAAAATAATTTCTGTAAAATAAAAAATCTAGAATCTTTTGGGGATGGGAAGGGGAAAGATCAGACATTATTCTTTTGCCCTGAATGCTAAGTATAACTTAATACCCGTAACATTTACACCAGTGTTTTTCAAACTTGGCAACTTTAAGATGGGTGGACTTCAACTCCCAGAATTCCCTAGCCAGCATGTTCTGTGAGCTGAAGTCCACCCATCTTAAAGTTGCCAAGTTTGAAAAACACTGATTTACACTATATAGGCTACTTGTTGCTAAAACAACTACCCTAATTTTGGGACTTGTTTGCTTCCTCCTCTTCCCTGCTTTTGTAACATCTCAACTGATAGATTTAAGAGAACTTCAACACTTACACACTCCTTTGCACCATTTTGGTTAGTCCTAATAGAGAGGTTGCTTCACTGAGTTTTGGATTATTTTCCCCCTCATGGACCAACATAACTATCATTCTTTAAGATGTGCTTCTTGGCATCTAGGTTTCCTGTATGGTGAAGTTAATGGTATTAACTTTAAAAAGCCAGTGTCTAAGGAAGATGTCCAGCTTAGTTTAGTGGGCATTTACTTACATTGGTGGGTTTATGACTGCAGCCTGAAAAAACACACACACACTTTGCTTTCATAATTTTTCAGATCCAGTTTGCGGAATCTCTGTATTTCCTGCCACATTTTCCAATGGCACGTTAAATTCAAGCTGCTTCATGGATCAGAGGAAGTCCTTGTTTGGCAAACTCTCACTTCTAGGACATGTCAAGGTCCACATTTTTAAAGTCCAAAGTTTATTACTCCAGAAAAAGTAAATTCCGCTTGTTACTTCTCCATTATGTGCCTTAGACAGTATTGGAGTAGCCATCCAAATACACACACACACAGAGGACACAGTATGTTATTCTCAGATCCTCAAGAAAGACAGCTTGTAAATAGTTAGCCATTATAGGAGGCAAAACGATGAGTTCTTTTTATCTGATCCACGGGGCTCTTCTTGTTTGGTTCAAGACTTCTGTTTTGGCCCCAAATTTGTTTAGCCCAGCAGCCTGCAATCCTCCTGCCATGAGTACATCCTTTGCCTACTACAGAGCTCTTGTGCATTTGCCATGGAACCTGCGCGCCTTGTAAAGGATTCTGAGGAAAATTCATGCAGGGCATTCTTTGAGATGCACCATCAATGTACACATACTGTGAGTTAACTTGTCTTTCCACTAAAATTGTGTATCATAGCTGATTTGTAGAAGTAGACAATCTGTTGTGGAAGAAAGTGTTGTTTTCATAAATACTAAGCTTCCCATTAAACACCTCAACTTTTCTTGAAACACATTCTGAAAAACTCTGACTGTCAAAATGAACCCAGCTTCCTCAACAGGTTTATTTATTTTATTAATTTATACATCACATTTATATAGCCGCCCATCTAACACAAAGCGACTTTCAACCCAAAGCGGGTTGAAACTGGGCAAGCTGTGGCTTCCTTTATTTACTAGTTACAAATTCAGATACGGAACGAGAAAACAAGAAAACTTGCTATTAGAAAGTTTTGCTTTCTAATAGCACAAATAGCCTACACTCTGTTCCTGTTGTAAATTAAGACTGCAATCCAGAACCAATTCTGCAAATCTTAGGAACAAGCTGCTACATGCCAGTCTATAAATGTTTCCACTGCATAAATAGTCTGAGTCTGCAGTTCTGATGGGAGGCATCAACACTCCCTCAAGCAGACATTATCGTAAGCCACTAAAACTAAAATAAAAATAGCTTTTCTTTTTATAGGGAGAGAGTAGATGTAATCTGTTAAATCTGACAACCATATAGCCCTAGGTAATTTAAGAGTACTTATTTAATTAATTGAATTTAGAGGCCACCCAACTCCAGATGACTCTGGGTGGCTTACATAATGAAAGAGAGTAAAAAAGAGAGAAAATCAAGAGTACTTTATAAAAACATTATTTACAAGCAAAGGGCACTTTCAAAAGCAGGAACTATGGAGTCCTTGGTGTTCTATGAGCTTGGCTGTTTTCTTGCAAACATTTTGTTACTCGGCTAGTTAACATCTTCAGTGCTAGGATGGAGTGGGGTTTGCTCTCTGTTTATAGAAAGAAGAGTTGTTCCTTGGTAGAGGTTTGCCTGCATGCAAATTTCTCCCATCTGCGTGCTTTCTGACGCCCATATGTGGTACCAACAGAAGAGAATATGTGTAGCTCACATAAAAGCAGGAAAGCTAGTACAACCTCCCCATTCCTCTGACTCAAAAGAAACAATGGCTGGAAGAATCACTGACTTGGTTCACATACCATGCTAAGACTATAATGTGTTTCGTTTGCATATGGTTTAGCATATGGTATGAACTAGCTACTGCTGTTTGTAAACTATAATTTGTAACTTAAGATGTTGCATGAACCTAGTTAGCTGTAATTTATTTAATAAACCACAAATATGCCAACTATGGCTTAGCACCATGTGTGAACCAACCCCACTGCTTACTCGTTTCATGTATTTTTAAAATTTACTAGTGTGTGCTTCCATTCAACACATTTCTGAGAATTCTTATAATGAATTTTATAAACACAGAGATAGTTACACAGGCTGTTATCTGATTAAACAGTTATTTCTGAATGAAGCCAACACGTTTTTCATGTTTTTAGATGATACCAATGTGTTAACAGATACCATCTTATCTACTATTAGTAGTATCTGCTTGCTGTGTAGATTTTGCAAGAGCTTTTGTTAAAAATAGCTTACATTTTAAAATATGTAATCAAATACTTACTGATATTTTTAAGAGCTCAAAAGATTTTAAGAACAATCACCCAGTTGTCTAAATGGTTCAGGCAGGCCTAATTGTTGCTTTCTATATAGCTGAACCACACTGTTCAATGACAGAAAAGAACACTGAAGGCTTCAATTCAATACTGTTTCCTGAAAGTATAATCCTATTCAATTCAACAGCTTGCATAAAAATATGCATTGTGAATACAGTATTCTGTTCAAAGGTTGAGCTGCTGTTTCTGGCTTTCTTACCAGCTGGGTCGAAAAATGGGCACAGGGAACTGGGCTAAAGAATCTGGAATGTCCTCCTGGGAATACTCATATACTTACTTCAGTAAGCAGCAAAAACCTCCTAAGCTGATTAATTGTATTAATATAATGTTGAGTGTATTATTTTTAGCAAACTTGGACACAGTTTATAGTAACAATTTAAATAAAGTAACCAGAAACCATCTGAGGTAAGCTGAATAACTCCTTGTTTTCAATCACTGTAACATTTTAATCTGTCATCTGAAATTGCCATTATTAACAGTATCTCTATACAGTGTGACTTTTTTGAGTTTCTCCTACCCTAGCCTTAGAAACAGCCAAGAAAATAAACCAGTGATCATTGAACAAATCAACCCCAAGTTTTCATTCGAGGCATAAATGGCGAGGCTTGAGTTATCATACTTCAGTCACATTATGTCAGGATATCGCTCTCTGGAAAAGGCTGTAGTGCTGGAAAAGGTGGAAGGAAAGAGAAGAAGAGGACGACCAGCAGCAAGGTGGATGAACCCACTTACAGTGGCAATGGGGACGCTGTGGAAGATCTGAAGGACCAGCCTGGGGACAGATCCTCGTGGAGAAAATCTATCTATGCCGTTGCTAAAAGTTAACATCATCTTGATGGCACATAATCAATCAAATCCTTAGAAAAGTGGTGAGGGATCTTTAAAAAAAAAAAAAGTAAATTCCCCTTTGTATAAGCTTAATTGTAAATGCATAAACAAATACATGCTGCTTTATTTAAAGAGCCTCAACGTTGCACACAGCACCAGATCAACTCCATCTGTCTTCCTCTGTCACTCAAGACAGTCATAATTATGAAACTTGTATAATTCAGGCACACATAACACTGTACATCATTTACTCTGCAACATCAAATAGATAGATCCATATCAACTTATATCAATTGTCCTGCATCGGTGCTTGAGCTACAATTCCCGTCATTCCTAGCCATAATCATGTCCAATGGCCATGCTTGCTGGAGATGACACAGATGTTGTAAACTACAAATATTTAAAGAATGCCCGATAGAGAAGGCTGAACTATATCATGTATCTCACACTCCATCTACCTTATTAGCAAGGTGATTATTAACTCTGGTAATAAGATACAATTATGCTTATTAAAATTATTCCAATTAAGTTTTTATCATAGCAAAAGTATTACTAATAAAAAGCCACTGAAGCCATGTCTGCCCACCCCATAAATGGTTAATTTAGTTATTGGGGCCAATTAAAATACTTCAAAGCAGCATGCAAGGTTCCCCAGAAGTTGGTATCAGGCCAGATGTCCCCCAAATCAGAGAACTGGGCAGAAAGGAAAAAAAGGGTACAAAAGTTAGTCCAGATTTTAGAAGATGGTTTACGTTGCTTGGTTTTGGTGCCCTTTTGGTTGGTCTCCCTGAGAGCACCCCCACTTTTGAACATTAAGAATGCTCTAGAGCAGTGTTTCTCAACCTCAGCAACTTGAAGATTGTGTGGACTCCCAGAATTCCCCAGCCAGCATGCTTTAAGATGTGTGGAC